GAATGTGTAGCAGTTTTATAATTTTAAAAATTTTGCTTAAGCATAACAATAATGATGAGCTCTGATAGCACAAGACTCTTTGTAACTTCATGGCTTATACTGCAGAAAGCAAGTTTAATTCAACTGAAGAACGCTTTCTTAATTGTGGAAATCATTAAACTCTGGATGAGATTTCCTTTGCAAGGGCTCTAAAATTTCCCTCCTGGATTCCCTAAGAGCAGAGTAAGATGACTGACTACAGTAGCAAGTTGTGGTTTCCTTTTGCATGGGGACTGGGCAGTGTTCATGTGACCAAGCCTCAGACCAACTCTGCAGCGGAAGGAAACCTTTGCGTGGGCTAAGTTTAAGTGCCTCAGCAGGAAATCTGCCAGCTATCAACAGAACAAGAATTTCCTAAATCCCAGCCAAAAATCAAAGCTTAAAAATGCTGTTTTGCTCTTGGAAAATAAATTTATCAATCCTAAAAATAACTAGAAAAAAGCCAAAAGATGAAAGTGACTCTTAAGTTTCAAACAGATGTTAGACTAACGTTTGCAAAGGCTGACAGAGTAAGAATTCTTGGGACTCCTACATAACAGAAGAGTGATACCTAAGAGAATCTCTAATGCTTTAGGATGACTTCCAGGGGCCAGAAAACAAAAGTAAAATTTTTTCTGGGTTTCTAAGTGTCACCTAGCCAACAACAGGTCCAGCATTTATTACTAGAAAATGGGTATAAATAGAAATTATTTATCTCATGGGTTAGCAGGTCATAATGAATAGACTAATACATTAAAATCTAAAAATTGACATAAGCATGGAGTATAGAAATATATTTGTGCTATTCAGCTTTCTGTTACTTAACAAAATACCTGAAATATTAATTTATAAAGGAAAAGGTTTACTTTGGCTCAAAGTTTTGGGGGTTTCAGTCCATGGTTGGTTGGTTCCATTGCTTTTGAGTCTGTGGTGAGGCAAGTAGCACATCATGGAGGGAAGGCGTGGTAGAGCAAAGCTGCTCACTTCATAGCCAGGATACTAAGAGAGGATGAGCAAGGGGCTGGGGTCTCACTATTCCCACCAAGAGCACACCTTCAATGATTATAAGATCTTTCATGAGGTCCTAAGTTTTAAAGTTTCACCACTTAACAGCACAGTCAGGGGAACAAGCCTTTAACATATGGCTGGGTCTTCGAGATATATTAAGATCCAATCTATAGCAGTATTCCTCTTTTTTAAAAAAATCTATAAAGTACAACTGGAAATATTAATTCCTACTAAAAGGAATTTGACTTTTGTGTTAACCAATCTGTCTCTTTAGGTGACTTTAATTTGTTCTAAAGCATAAAATTTCACTGTAAGAAATTACATAGAAAAAACTAATCACATAGGGAAGCATATCACACTGGGCAAGGGATGGTTAGTGAAGCTGGCTTTTTATGAGCTATGAGACAAGGTTCATCATGCCCTCCCTAGGAAAATATAAAGGCAAGGCTCTTTTGGTAAATGCATGACTAGGAACAAGAAGTCTGTCAGCTCACAAGTCACAATGTGCCAATTTAAGCATTACCATAGTGTCAGGTGAATTCCTACACGAAGGTCATGTAGTGTGACCTGGAGAGGTCATGTAGGGATGAGGCCTATCTGACTCCAGGGTAGGCCCTCCTGCTGCTCTCCCATCCCAGCACGGACCACCCTCTGCTTCTAGCACTATACACCTGCCACCTGCACTGTGCTTCCCTCCCAGGCAGCAGAGATTTGCATTTGTTTAATTAGCCAGGGATAGGAAAACAGCTACCTTTTTGGTGCCAAAGCAGATGTTAAACTAATTTCAGAAAAGAACAAGTACCCTGGATAGTCTAGAATGACTCAGCCCCAGTCCCCCACAGACAAATTCATCTCACTTACCATGTGCCCACAACTCCACTCTCCTGCCATCAAGATTGGGATGTGCAGCGCCCTATCTGACTTCCAGCTGCTCCTCTTTCAGAAGTTCCACTACCATACTCCCTCTGGGCCTGGCAATATACTCCTATGAGGTAGCAATGCCTGGCCCCTCCCTCTTCTCTGGTTCCTTCCCTCCCTTCCTGGTCTCACATGCCTCTCTGAACCCGCAGATCATATCCTCCACCAATCTGGCTGTGCTCTGTCAGCCACTAACTGGGGACCGCCAACTCATTTTTTTGTTTCCGATCTAGGCCTCCAAATGGAAATGAAAGACTGACCTCCCTTGAGGCCATTTGACCCTCAGTGTCTCTAAGCAGTTGATTTATTCATCTTTAACTGGCTTCTTTTTTTTTTTGGTACTGGGGATCGAACTCAGGATCTTGTGCTTGTGAGGCAGGCTGTGGAACCATCTGAGCTAAATCCCTGACCCCTAACTGGCTTTTCATCAAACTTCCAAAAGCATTTTTTCTAAGAATTTCTTGATTAACTTTAACTCATGGGAACTTGGGGTATCCTTAGAGGCTGTGATCACAGGTAAATCACTATTCTCCAATTCAGTCTTATTATTAAAGCTGATAATCTGCCCTCATTCTGTCTGGTTCCTGACTCTTCTCATATTTCATAATTGATTCTGAACTGTCTGTGTTTGTGGTTGGGACAGGGATGATGTCCAAAACTTTTTTTCCCAAATGCCAAATAACTGTATCTGAACCTTTGCTCTTTCCTTTTCTATGTGCAGGGAAGGGTCTTCCCTAGGCCCACAGAAAGTAAGAAGAAGAAATTAATAAAATAAAGGCAGAAATTAATGAAATGGAAATCACTTTAAATAGTCTTGATTAATAAAACTAAAAGTGTTTTGAAAGGACTAACATGATAGAACCTCTGGCAAATTGAATCAAGAAGAAAAACAAGCATTCAAATTAGAAGCAAGAAAGAGGGCATAATTGCATATATGGATTTTTAAACTTGACAAAACAGATAATTTTCTAGGCAAATACAGATTACCAAAATTAACTCAAGAAGAAACAAACAATCCAACTGAAAAAAAAGGCAAAAGTATACAAAAAAAAAGCAATTCACAAAAGGAAAAATACAAATGACTACCAAACATGAAAAGATGCTTAATCATCTAGTACCCAGCAAAGATAAGCCAAAGCAGTGAAATATTTAAAAACCCATCATATGGACTAATATTTTTAAAGAGACAACAATGTTATCAAATGTGGGAAATAGGCATTTTCTTAACACTTATATGTATGGCTTCTGGAGAAAGCAATTAGAGTGAGGATTGTAAGGGGGAACATTTCATATTTTACTCCATTTCTATATTTGAATTTATATAAGAATGTGTTTTTCAGTGTTATAACTAAATTTTTCAATAGAACTTTTAAGTCCATATGCAAAGGATTAATACTATTATTACTATATGCTTACACTGGAGAACAAAACTTGAAATGAGAACATAGACAAAATAGTTTATGAATCTGAACTATGGTAGATAAGAAAAAGAAGAAATAGAAAAATAAGCAGCAAAATACAGAATGAATATAATATGGGAGAAATCCACACGTGCAAAACATTAGTCTTGTGAAGGCAGAAATACTGTCCTATTCTGGAGAATGCCTAGCACACAATAATCTCTTAGTAAATACTTGTTGAATAAATTTTAAAAAATAAGAATGAAGTCAAGAAATTACAGAAAACATTGAAAAGTATTATCCGATCAGTAAGGGGAGTAAGTTTAAGGTCTCCCAAAAGTATCTGTGAAGAAACTCAATCTCCGTGTAGACATTGTTCAGCCAAAAATCTTAAGTGATGATAAACTAGAGTATTTACTGTTTTATAGCAACTGAAGAGTGAAGGTTCCCAAACATCATGTCTTTATAAAGGTCTACCAAGCACACTCACCAACAGTCAGTGGTCAGGTTGACTTTCACCACAGTCCTTGTCACCAAGTGACTAGAGTACAGATACAGACTGTCTGTGGCTGGAGGCAGTGCTGATCATAAACCTGAAATTCACAAATCCAAATGTCATAATCCCAAATGCTGACATTCTGAAAAATCAAAATCCCTAAAGTATATAATTCCAAAAACCACAATCCCAAAAGATTACAATTCCAAAAGTCAAAATCCTAGAAACTGCAATTCCAATTTGGGGCTGAGTGGTGGGAGTAGTGGTGGTGGTGGTAGAAAGACCAATTCTGGGGATGGGATTAGTGTGTTTTCAGTTGCATGCAGTGATCCATTGCAGTTTTTGATGGAACTCATCAAAACACTTACATTGCCTTTCAGATGGCTGCAGTTATAAAGCTAGGTTACAAAATTACCAAACATAGTTAATATGTGTCTGTTTTTGGACCTATTTCTTCACACATATGGTTCATCTATTCATAAATGTTACACACATATAACTGAGCATGCTTGATATATGTATTATTGCCTTTGTTATGTAGTAGCCTATAACTGTTGTATAAAACGGACATGTTCTTGTGTATTTCTTAAATAAACCTCCTTTAAAGGATGTAAATAAATGTCTTTTAAATTATCTTTCCACGGTTATTTTTTTCAGGATTTTAGAATTTATACATTTGATATTTCAGGATTTCAACACTTGGCACCGTAGTGTTTAAGACTGTCTTTCAGGATTATGGCCCAAACTCCTCTGGAGGACATATAAAGGCCCACAGAAGCATCCCAAAGGTATGCTAGGAATTTCTATTTCAAAAGAAACAAATTAAATAATTTTGTTCACATATATTTCACAAATTTGAAATGACAAAATATTAGAGTCCCTGATATCCTGTTATGCTCTTAATGTAAT